AAATTAGGATCCCCTTCTTCTAAACGCTTTTAAAAGGATATAATGAATAAACACTTTGATTATTAGGGTGCGTTTGTTTTGGGGAATTCTTTATTACTAAAAAAATAAGATTACCATTGAGATATAATGAATGAATATGGTCGCATCCTTGGCCATTTGGCTATTTCTAGCCTTCGATCTAGCCGAAAATGGCTAGATTGGCCAGTCGTACGTCGTTCTGACAATTGCCAGCAGTGATGGCCGACAGCCAACAATTGTCTTAGGTAACTAAAGGTATTTTGAGTATTATCTATGTAAATAGTGAGGGAATTTTTGTCTAAAAAAATATATATGAAGTTAAAGAAGTCATTTCACATATTTGGGTTAATTGTTATTTAGTACACATATGAGAGCATTTGTGTCCAAAATGTTTATTAATTAAGAGTAAAATTGGTATAAACAGTTAATTACCCTGGTAATAGAAAAATAACACCCTTCCAGATAGTAATTGAATTACTCTCGTTTTTATCTATAATAACCATTATTGATATTAAAAGTTTATCGTAATCTTTCATTACTTGACACTCAAACATAGTAATTTTCAGAAAATAAGATAGATTATCGATGTTATTTTTTATGTCCCAAAACAAACGTACCTTTAGAGTAATTCTCTAATCAGTACAAATAAAGTAAATCTATTCAATATAATTTCCAGCACACCAGAGCTAAGTTTAGACAGAGGTCGGAGGAAATCTATCAACTAAACCACATCTTTTAAGTATATATAATAAGTTTATCTCCGGAATATTTATTTTATGTTGAGTTAAAAGGAGAAAAAGCTAGAGTCCTTATACACTGGCAGAGAGAGTATATGGTATAATGATAAATGAAACCACCAGCTTTCAAAATCTTTCGGCCCTTGTCAATAGTCCATAGATTTTGGACCCAAACTTTGGCCCAATAGCTCATCCAGACTTGTATATTACCGGGTCAATCCAATCCTTTTGGGGCGCTATTTGTCTCGTAATTGCTCAGGCCTCTAATAAATCACGACATATGATATTACCGAGTAACAATTTACGAAGGTCGTTGCTAGGAAAAATACATATCAATCACCAAAGATTGCCAAAAAAAAAAGGAAAAACATCTGAAAGGATGAATTAAATTATACTGACACAGAAAGGGGTAGGCAACTTAGCACAAATGGCTTTATTTAAAGGGTTTCTGTAACTAAGTAAAGCATCAATTAATTAAACATGCAAATATGCTACTACTGGCATCTTCTTCTGTTCATAATCATGTACTCATCAATTGCGTTTTAATTCTTTTTTGACCCTAGTTTCGACAAAATCAAAAGCAATCGATAAACATGTGAATTTGCAACATATCCAATGTTAATGTAATTTATTTCAACGAGGGTGACTGAAACTATCGAGTTTTTCATAGAGGATATAGCTGAGATGTTCAAATATTAATTAGTAAACAAAAATTCTGAACTTCTATGGAGCTCAACTCTTGTTGATAAGCTTCCAACGGGAGTATTAATGCAGCACGAACAAGAAGGAAAGTTAAAGCTCTAAAAACCAAGAACAGGAGGAAAGGAATAAAAATTTACATGAATTGAATCGTAATACACAGATCCCCTGAAAGTTTTCTTTCGGTATAAATTATCTCTTAATCTTGTCTTTCTACAATGATAGTGATATTCATATTACAAATCACAGACATGTTAATGTTGAAGTAATCAATATATAGGGCTTCCAAGCATTTCCTTTATGCAGTTTTAATCAAAGTTTTTTGTCCTAATTTGCTAATTAAACTAAGCAGTTAATAGGATATATTCATCCGTAATGAAGTAAGAAATCTAATCATTTTGCCAGTGCTGTTTCTACAAGATTTACAGAAATTGATCACAATTCTAACCATACAGGGCCAGAAAGAAAATGAAGACTGAATATACTATGGTGAGTTTCATTAATTATTGAGAGGGAAAATACAAATTAGCTATAGAAGAGATGACATGACATGAAGAATTTACTATAATTATCACCAGAGAAGGTTATTAATCTGCTAATTACGTGAGCTTGGTGGTCACTTATCAATCTTTGCCTCTGAAATATACCTTCCATCTCGAGATTAGCCTCCATTAAATTCAGCTCTGTAAGTGATGAATACATATCTACCTCAGTTATCTTTACAATAGTATAGGAAGACCAAGCTGATCAAGAAATCTACAAGAGTGCATATATATATATATGTATGAAGACTAGTTTACAAAACTCTGTATGCCTTCTTCCGACCAGTGCGGTCTAAGGAATATTCCATATTCTACAGTTAAAGAATATTCCGATTAGCTAGCTAGACTTTTCCGTCCGATGAAGGGAGAGTTGTATCAGCTTTTACGGCTGTAGAAGAAGATGTTGATACAGAATTTGTGCCCTTAGAAGGAGTTGATGAAGGAGTTGGAAGCTTTTTGGGAAGCATTTGTTCCCAACTGCCTTTAGGCAATCTTGATGCTTCTGAGAGAAGAATGACAGTAAAGAGAGTGAAGAGCAAGCACTTGTGCTTCCAAGAACCTAACATTTTGATCAATAGTGATCAGGATTCGATGCACAGAACCCTTCTTTAAGTTTGAAAGATAGTTGCTGCATCTTTAGAGAGTTTGTTGCAGGAGACATGTTGAGTGATGTATGGAGACTGCCAACTTGCTTGTTTGAGGAAAGATGTGTCAATGGCAGACAATGGGGTATTTGATAATTCTAAACTGTTGAGTAGCTCATGCTGTTTCTTTCATTTGTCTAATAGAAATAGAATCTCAGTGTGAGGGATTGAGGAATTTGAGGACATTTTTTATTCAGTTGGACCACCCTTTATTTGGGGTATAATTTATGTATTTGTTTATTCTTGTACTTCTGCTAACATTTATATTTGTTTAATCTTGATACTTCTGGTAACAAATCTTTCCTGTCAGGACATGTTTAAGACTTCAGAGTGATATAATTGGTAATGCCTCTTTTAAGATGGTTTATATATGTAAAAACATCCAAAAATTATCTTCTTAATTACTACTAAATTGTTATTATTAGTATAAGTTAACCATTTTTAACAATTAGAGAATCTTTTGGACAGAAATTTGATCAAGTCAGATGATGCTAATCATTATAATTAAACATTGCATAAACTTAATGTAAGCACGGGTGCATTCTAAAAGGCAAGAATCTGAGCTCTTTTATGAACTGAATGAAGCATGTGTTATTAATAAAACAAATTGCCAGTAAAGCTCTCTAATTAAGCCTGTGGTTGAAGTCCTAAAACCTAAAATTATATATCATAATCATTCCTTAATTTCAATCATGCAAACATGAGGAGAGTGCTCTTTTCATTAGTTTCAGATAGCTCAGAAGCCAAACAAAGACATTTTAAAAGAAGTCCAAAAGAAGCATCTTTGACACTTTTGTACGCTACTTTGCCAACAAAGAGAAAAAATTTAACAATAAAAGATGTTAGTTATCACTATGTCACTTCAATATCCATATTTTTATATGAATTCCTAGTAGTAAAGGCACCCCATGTCTTGTAAATTGTAATCCTAAAGATTCAACCAAAGAAAATTACTGAAATGGACATTCACCCCTCTAAATAATTTTTTTATATACAGTATTGTGTTCCGTCAAGCCGTACAATCTTTGAGAAACAGGAAACAATGATTTATACCTTATAAGAGAAAACTAAAAACCTAAATTTTTAGTTAAACGTTGCGAAATGAGTTTTCTGAAAAATTCATCAAGTAAGACCTTGATTTACTTTTAGCATGAACATGTTTGTATTTTAACCGGACCTAACTTGAATGGTGGAGCCTATATTCCTGGTTTATCACGGCCCTTGGCAAGCGGGAAGTGGTGAGTGCATAAAAAGATTGGACCCCTTTGAGAAATAAAAAAATGTTTCAAGTTGAAAGAATGTCGGGTGAAAGATAAATCTTATGTTTGTGCAGGTTTAAATGAAACAAGAGGAGTTGGAAGAAGGTGGACATTCCGCCACTTCCTTTTAAGTGGTAGGGTCCTTCAGTTCTTACTTCACTCATTGTGGTCTGTGTCTCTGTCTGTCTTATTGACATTTTGTTTCTTAATCAAATGCTTTTTGTTTATAAAATTATACATTTTAATATGGAGGTTTGAGAAACTTTGCTTATCTTACCTGTCATATTACATACTACCGCAAACCTTTGACATCCAGACTATCATTATTCAGCTTCCTGGAAACATTCCTTCAAATTTTTTAACCTTTTTTTCCTTTTTTTTTCTTTTTCAATATCAAAAGATGAAGCTATTACATCTCACTAAGATGAGTTTAGACTAGTTTATAGACTTTGATTCTCTGCACCAAATAAATGCATTTTAGATGACAAACGTTTGTGTTGTTCATAAAGGTGAGCAATGTCTAAAATGAAAGATATCTATTTAGTGTACTAATACTACTCTTGCCTGGTTGTTTTTGTCATTGAAAAACAAAAAGGACTTGAATCTCCCATGGGATATTCCAGAGTCCAGGATTTGGAGTTTCAGGAGCACTTCTAAGTGCTGGGAACAAACGGTTGTTTGTGTTTAAGAGTCGTGCTTTAGGTCAATATCAAAAGACATTGCTCACTTCCCAAAAATAAGATTGTACGAATCTTCCTTGGAGATTATAAATGTTGAACTCTTTTCACGCAGGTTCAAACACCATAATCATGCACTGAGATTGTGTTGATTATTTTATATATTCTAATGGGTATAAACTATTAGAATATGAATGTTCTTGTCTCCTGGAGAAGCTTTCTCATTAGCCTGAAAGTTTAAGTTATTTTTCTGACAAAATACAAATTGATATAAAAAAGATTCAGGAGTGCTACCAGATGTAGATTAAAACTTCCTCTTCTGAGCAAGCATTGAGAAGATTAGAATAATATCTAACGAACTCCAGAAGACATTACAAGTTTAACAACATTATTGAAGTGTATGCAGATCCAGGGAAGATAAAGCTTGTAACAAAATTGGATTTAATTGTCATTGATGTTCATAAGATATACTGTAATACAATCAGAACTCCCTCCAATTTAGGGAGGGTATATCTATGGCAGAAACAATAAAGAAAACAAGGGCTGTTAAAGAATGATCAACTGTAAAATTTTACACTTCCTATTTCAGAACTACAGCTATTGCATGCTGGAGCTGCTGCTAAGGAAAGCAAACATATATCTAATAAGCAAATGTCAAATTTCCAGCAGCCACGGAGAGTAGATGACACTAGTTGAAACTTGAAACCCCATGTTTAGATAATAGCTGACTTAATGGTTTCTGACTCTGTGGGTCGCCAATAAGTCTTGTGAGCACAAAGCATTCCTACATTGTCTTTGGAGTAAACCATTCGGATTTCCCACTGTAGGGATTTAACCAAGCCCTCAACCTCACTAATCGTTTCCACATTGTCTCGTACAATCAGGCTTCCATCTGGCCTCAGAATCCTATCAACTTCTGCAATAACCGCCTTCAAATTGCACCTGTGGCCAACAAACCACATCAAAATAGTGCAATCATCAGACATTATCAATTTATGTGAGAATTATAACTGTGAAAAATGCAATATTTAAGATTAAAATTAAAGTAATAGAGGAGGAAGAAATACCTCTTTTTGATAATTGACAAGAGATGATCAGCATGAAGAAGATCATAAGTTCTAGGGTAGGTACTGAATGACTCACACCAATCATGATATAATCCAAACAAACCCCTTTCATAGATTATTGGTAGTGTGTCTGGAGAATCAATGGGAACAACATTCATAACCCACATTTTCAAGTCTTTCAACGCTGCAGCAAACCTAGTATCATAATGGAAAGAACACCATAAATCAGGTAAACAATATGCAACTAGATGGATAATTTTAGTATAAATCTCCCCACCAACTGATGCAAAATGATCAAATCTAACCATGAACTTGGGTATTAAGATTCCAGCTTTCATATTAGAGCGAAAAATAAGGGTGAAACTACTTACCCTCCATATACAGCTCTCATGTCCATAACATTCCTCACGTTAGACCAGTCGATCCCTATACCATTCAAATATGAATTAAAAACAACATGCTTCCAATGCTGGTAGTCAGCAGTGAAATCCTCAGGAGCAGCTTTGCCATAAACGCCAACCTCAGAATTCAACCAATAAGGTGGTTTCTCCAACCTTAGCGGCCACTGCAGAGGCCATTGAGACCCACGCTTTGACTTGTCTACTGGTATTCTATGCATGCATGGCTTAAGGGATACATTCCTGAAAACATGCATCCACACTGGATTAGTAATATTACTTGTTATGAACATTAGAGATCCATCAAAATCTCCCCATCAGCATTATTGATGTTTGCACTCTCCAGGTCAAAGATTGGACAATTGATAATAGAATTAGTTATCAGAAACTGTTGAAACTAAGTAATTCCAGAAGTATATATATATTAAAAGAAAAAAGTACCAGGCAGCATTAGGATCTTCAGACTCATTGCATAGTGGAGGCTCATTTTTAGGTCTTTTCTTATAACAGTCATTTGATGTTGTCTTTTGATATATTGCTGCAGCAACACCATTCAATTTGTCCTTCTTAATAGTCTTCAAATCCCAGCACATTGACTTTGTTAGCTCAGACATTGCTGCCATTAATCATGACAAAGAAAGAAAAAAGATGTTAGCAACAATCTTACCAGTCTCTCGAGAGGGACATAAACTAGGTTAGAAGTAGGTTAGAAGTATTCAACCTTTCCAAATGCCAACATCTTCTGGAAGCTTTTGGTAAACAGGAGTGGCAGACCAGACAAAGTAACCACCAGGTCGCAAGACGCGATTGAGCTCCAAAAGAAGAGCGCCACCTGCAATTTGGATGAAAACATATCACTAAATAAAAATAAAATGCAAAAATTATAATAATATATAAATGAAAATACATTAAAAAAAGATGTAGACATCACCTTCAATATGCCAAGGGACCCTACATCGGGCACAGTGGATAAGATCAAACACTGAACTGGGATATGGTAGTCTCTTGGTGCCCATAACAGATAATATGGCAGGGATTCCCCGCTCAAGAGCAAATTGCACTTGGGCTTCATGCTCATCCTTGGGAGCAAATGACATTGCAAGGACATCTTTTTCAAAAAGAAAACCTCCAAAGCTGGCCACACCACAACCAACATCCAATATTACACGACTTCTACTCCCCCACGCAATGTCAGGATGTGACTGCATTATAATTACAAATTACATTTTAATTCAAGCATTGTACTGGACTCAAGAATTCATTTTTCTTTCCTAGATCAACCAAAAACAGCTTTAACAATGAAACCTCCAAACCAGTCCATTGGGTCTCTTGAGAATTGGAGAATTAATAGTCATAAGGAAAATAATATAAAATAATAACAGTAACTGCAGCGACACAGAGCATGATTGATTTTCAAGATAATGAAAACATGCTAATAAGAAACTTATAAAAATTTGCAGCGGAAACTTCATAGTGTCACAATATGTATAATAAAATATAAAATTAGTCATGAGAATCAAATGAAGCCATACATGCATAGTTCAGCAATATAGAAAAGGACAATACTAAGTACATTAAGAAAATTTCCAGACACCACTCAATATTCATGAATAACCAGAGATCACATCCATTTTCCCCAGCAGACATGTCTTTGTATAGACTATATGATTAAGATATGCAAGAAGAACACATATGTTGTTTAAAATAAGAACTATATAGCACTTTGATTTAATGTTTAGAGCTCATCCTCTTGATGTTTTGCTTGCAAATAAAGAGAAATAAGGACAACGATATTAGTTTACAGGCAGAGAAAAACCTTCAGAGAAGCTCTTAAGATCATATTTTTGTGCAAAGACCACAAGCACAACTATGGGTATATATTTATGAATATTACAGGAGCACTAACATCAGTCAGAATGAGATACACAGTGTCTCCAGTGTATGTCCATGCTCCTGTAGTGTTTATTAGGCACACTTACACAATACTGATAGAGGATAGCACATAAAGTCTGCCTTTTTCAATTTTGACTCTGTGAAATCAAAATATATATTATAAAACACACATGATAAGCAACAATACAAACAAAGCAAAAAACAATCGAAGTACTGGAAGGACCTTGTAGCAGAAGAGAAATAGTAAAAAGAAAAGGGCTCACATTTTGAATGAAGTCAATGTAATGAAGAGCACCATTCTTGAACTGAGTTCCACCACCAGGAAAAGTAAGGTATTCACCATCAACTTTAACCCAATTTTGGTGTCCCTTAATCTCTGCAAGCTTTGTGTGTGGAACATTATAGTACCATATCTGCACGACACACCATTTGAACAAATCTCAACCCAAGTGAATTACATTATATTTCAGTTGATTTGGATTATATGATCATACCTTACTCCTGCTTTTAGGCCACTTAATTGAGCGTCTATATCCTTCCGGCAAGGGAACAACACAGGTGGGAGCTTCTTCAGGGCAGTGCCGTTCTCGATGTTCATAATGCTTTGTACTTCGAAGCCTTCTGATAGTTTGCCAATTGTCAAGGCAAGGGATGTAGTCTGGCCCAGCAGTTGCATTACAGAGTTTCCAGTTATAATGATTTCGGTCCTTCGATATGGAAGATTGTTGTGATTCCTTCTCCTTTTGAGACTCAATTGCTTGAGTTGACCAGGCACCATTTTGAGTATTGGTTTCATTCAAAATATCTGACTGTTCAGCAGCAGGGAAATTTTCAATTGACTCCTTAACCTTTTCATTGTTTTCCATGTTATTGTCCCCAATTTTTTGTTCTGAATTCTTTTTTTTGTCTCCAATTTTTTGTTCTGAATTTTTGTTATTGTTTCCAATATTTTGATCTAAATTCTTATCCTGATTTTGAGAAACCTCCCTATCAGTCTGACTAACCTCAACTGACTCAGTTTTGTTTTCACCCAAACTNATTCAAGCATTGTACTGGACTCAAGAATTCATTTTTCTTTCCTAGATCAACCAAAAACAGCTTTAACAATGAAACCTCCAAACCAGTCCATTGGGTCTCTTGAGAATTGGAGAATTAATAGTCATAAGGAAAATAATATAAAATAATAACGGTAACTGCAGCGACACAGAGCATGCTTGATTTTCAAGATAATGAAAACATGCTAATAAGAAACTTATAAAAATTTGCAGCGGAAACTTCATAGTGTCACAATATGTATAATAAAATATAAAATTAGTCATGAGAATCAAATGAAGCCATACATGCATAGTTCAGCAATATAGAAAAGGAGAATACTAAGTACATTAAGAAAATTTCCAGACACCACTCAATATTCATGAATAACCAGAGATCACATATCCATTTTCCCCAGCAGACATGTCTTTGTATAGACTATATGATTAAGATATGCAAGAAGAACACATATGTTGTTTAAAATAAGAACTATATAGCACTTTGAATTAATGTTTAGAGCTCATCCTCTTGATGTTTTGCTTGCAAATAAAGAGAAATAAGGACAACGATATTAGTTTACAGGCAGAGAAAAACCTTCAGTGAAGCTCTTAAGATCATATTTTTGTACAAAAACCACAAGCACAAATATGGGTATATATTTATGAATATTACAGGAGCACTAACATCCGTCAGAATGAGATACACAGTGTCTCCAGTGTATGTCAATGCTCCTGTAGTGGCTATTAGGCACACTTACACAATACTGATAGAGGATAGCACATAAAGTCTGCCTTTTTCAATTTTGACTCTGTGAAATCAAAATATATATTATAAAACACACATGATAAGCAACCATACAAACAAAGCAAAAAACAATCGAAGTACCGGAAGGACCTTGTAGCAGAAGAGAAATAGTAAAAAGAAAAGGGCTCACATTTTGAATGAAGTCAATGTAATGAAGAGCACCATTCTTGAACTGAGTTCCACCACCAGGAAAAGTAAGGTATTCACCATCAACTTTAACCCAATTTTGGTGGCCCTTAATCTCTGCAAGCTTTGTGTGTGGAACATTATAGTACCATATCTGCACGACACACCATTTGAACAAATCTCAACCCAAGTGAATTACATTATATTTCAGTTGATTTGGATTATATGATCATACCTTACTCCTGCTTTTAGGCCACTTAATTGAGCGTCTATATCCTTCCGGCAAGGGAACAACACAGGTGGGAGCTTCTTCAGGGCAGTGCCGTTCTCGATGTTCATAATGCTTTGTACTTCGAAGCCTTCTGATAGTTTGCCAATTGTCAAGGCAAGGGATGTAGTCTGGCCCAGCAGTTGCATTACAGAGTTTCCACTTATAATGATTTTGGTCCTTCGATATGGAAGATTGTTGTGATTCCTTCTCCTTTTGAGACTCAATTGCTTGAGTTGACCAGGCACCATTTTGAGTATTGGTTTCATTCAAAATATCTGACTGTTCAGCAGCAGGGAAATTTTCAATTGACTCCTTAACCTTTTCATTGTTTTCCATGTTATTGTCTCCAATTTTTTGTTCTGAATTCTTATTGTTGTCTCCAATTTTTTGTTCTGAATTTTTGTTATTGTTTCCAATATTTTGATCTAAATTCTTATCCTGATTTTGAGAAACCTCCCTATCAGTCTGACTAACCTCAACTGACTCAGTTTTGTTTTCACCCAAACTCCCCTCTGATTCAGTCTGTGCAATTTTATTTGTTTCTCCACGTCCAGCTTCTGATTTTGAATCTCCAAACCCAGATTTAGATTCACCCTCTGACCTTCTTCCACCCTCATCATTTTCAACCTGTGTCTTAGGCTCCTCTTCAGACTTAATCTTCTCGTCAGAACTCTCCTTCACTAAATTCTCTTCCTGCTCTTCATTTACTGTATTGCTAGACACAGTAGATTCATCATTGCTCTCCGTCACACTCTTCTCTTCCTGAGTATCCATCACTATGTTCTCCGACTCTTTTACAGGCATATCATTGCCATCCCCTCGTATTTCATCCTTAGGTAACTCATTTGAAGTGTCTTTGAAGTTCTCAGTCACTTTTATAGGCATATCATTGCCATCCCGTAGTATTTCATCCTTAGGTAACTCACTTGAAGTGTCTTTGAAGTTCTCAGACTCATTTAGTGTTTGTTTCACTTCATCTATAATTGCCTGAGATGAAGATTCTGAATTCTGAATGGGTACAACCGATGATGACATTAACATCCAAACCCCCACCAAACAAAAACCTACAAACATAACTACAGTAACTGTAGAACAATAATTTGATGACTTCCTCCCGCCAACTCGGGAATACTTCCCCAATGCCATATTTTCTCAGAACAAATATCCCAGATCAGATACACCAGGTTAAGCAATAACTATACATCATCTAATGGTAAGATCAACCACCTGCAATTAATAGTCAACAGAAATTTTCAGGCCGCACGATTAACAAACCTATAAACAAAATAAAATGAAATGCGGGCGGGTGGTTAGAGAGATCTGAAAATTGACAAGTACTCATAAGCTGAAACCTGCTTCTAATCGTACTGAAATCTTATATTCTAACTATATGTCAACTCAACCTCTTCAAGAAGAATCTATAATGATTCTCCCCTGTGGAAATGCTAATAAGCGTTACATGATTCATACTTTGTTTGATCTTAATACAAAAATAAAAGCTTTTTATTTTCAACTTCAAATTAAGCCAATACAATTGGATTTATTTTCCTATATTCTGGCGCCTTTTATGGATTTCACGAAACCCTTATTGCCTTAAAATTATAGCATCCATTTCATCTGTGCAATCATGACACTGAAAACTGAAAATATCATTTCTATGAAACTCAAAAGTATTTTTTTTTTTTCTAATTCTCCCACATGTGCCAAGAAGTGCATTAAAAATAAACGTCCCAATACAGATCTAAAAAAGCAAATTAACACATTCAAAAATAAAAAAAATAAAAAAAATAAAAAGAGAGAGAGGGAGAGAAAGTTGAAGTGGACAGGGGCGCAAGCTTTCTTCTGTTCACTATTAAATTAATAAATAAAAATCACAATAGATTTGACAGCTAAAACAAATCCCACACAAATTCATATCATTCACGAAATAACGAACATCTCCACGAGAAAGCTAAGCTCCGGTCATTCGCAAAACAAAAGAACGAAAACCAGATCCATGCATGAACGTAGAAAGACCAAGCAATCACAAAACCCAGAAAGAAATGCGAGTAAAGCTAAAGCATCAAGTATTACCTCCGTCAAGTGAACAGGGGTTGTCTCGAATCTGAAGAGTGCGTAAGCAAGTTCCCCGGTGTCAGAGAGAGAGAGAGGATAAACGAGATACGAAGAGAGCGTGACAGCTAATGTTAACAAGTGAGATTAAAAAAAAAAAAAGAGTTAAAAAATAGAGACAGAGTGAGATTTTATTTTTAGACAAATGACTTCTGTGCTACCGCGTTTCTCTCCGCTTATAAGGGATTATATAATATAAATATTTTTTCTTTTTCTTTTCCACCATTTTGGTAACTGCTCCTTCGATTCATTGGCGCCCCCTTGACCTTGGAATTTAAATAGTTACAAGATAATCGTCATATCTAATCATTTATAATATTACTCTAATTGGTAATTGCGATTTAAATGTTTATGTGATATGAATATATGTATTGGTTTGAGATGAATTAGAAATAAAAGAATGCACCCACGTGTACTGAGTTACAGTATGGCCCATGAAATCAATCACCGTATTAGCGTAATTGTACATACGCAGAGTCCTCCATGAATGGGTCCCATGATGATGTTACCAACTTACCATACTATTAAAAAGCCAGTAATTGGTCCCCATAAGGTGCCGGCCCACCATAATTATTCCCTAATAGTGTGTCAGCCGAGTCAGCTCCATTTGGCTCAGCTTGACTCGGCTACAGTGCTAACCGAGTTTGAACTGGGCAGATTTTGGCTCGAAAATCTTGATCGAAAAAGCAAAAAAATTGGAAAACTAAGTGTTTTTTTTTTTTTTTTTTACTCACCTCAAATGTTCAATCTCAAGCTTAACACTGTAGCAAACAAGTCGAGCTTGATTAACTCAAAACTCGGCTCGACTCATTTACACCCTTAATAGTTGTAGAACGAGAGGCAAAGAAAATTAAAAATTGAATTTGTAAGGTATTCAACGAGTCTCGAAGATTAAGTAAGATGCATACAAACTAGCCTAAACACTATAATCATTAAAAAAAAAAAAAAAAGATTGAGAATTGGAGGACCAATGAGAGAATCCAAACCCTATTTTTTTATATGAATTTAGAAATGAGATAAATCCTAATACTTAATTATTCAACTTATATTTCTTCTTACTCTTTACCAACATTGAGGTGACATAAATGTTATATAATAATTCTAACCATGTAAATATTATCCACTTCAAATTTTATCTCAACATTTTTAAACGTTAGGGTGTATTGACAGATTGTCACAATTTCACATCATCAAGTCACGAGTTTATATTTGAAATTCAATCATTGGACCGGTAAATCAAATCTACTAGACCACTACTTAACTGGACTTGGAGAGGATTGGACCTGCCTAGGTCCATTTTACGCAATTACATATGGACCTCTTCGTCATTTCGGGTCCAAGTACGGGTTAAAACTTTTGGCCCAATTTTCCAGTGGTGACACGTCATCACATTATCTACAACTACAGATGACGTGTCACAACTTTGAACAAAGTAGCCAATCAGGACTAACCAAAACCAAAAAGAACTTTCGAAATAAAGATTAAAAAAAACGAAGAAACGAACGTGTGGAGGGAAAGGCTTGACGTAGATTTTGTCGTGGTGGGGACGCTGAAGTTAGCGTATCACAGTCCACATGATCACAACTATGAACTCCAATTCTCCACATATCCCATCCCTCTTTCTCTCTCCAAACTGAAAGACAATGGTGGGTTTTCGACAATGAAGAAGAAGAGAAAGATTACTGGGGGGTTATGCTTCTTCCATGGCCTGTCATTCTGCTTACTATTCTGCCTTTTCACCATCACCACTGACGGATTTTTCTGGCAAGTTCAAGTCTTCAAGACGATATATTTGTAAACCTATTCAGATTTCTTCCATTATTCGCCGTAGAGCTTCTTATAATACTCTTGTTTCTGAGGTTTTATTTCTTTCCTCTCCATACTTTTTATGTTAATGTTCTTTATGCAATGGCATTGGCATGCACTGTCATTTCTTTTTTGTAATATTTTTCGTTGGTTTTTAGACAAATGTTGATTTTACTGAGCAACTATTGATCTTGACCAATCACTGTAAGGCCAAAATAAGAAATGGAACGTGTGGCTCACTTTTTTACTCAATGTCTTTGGTTGAGTCTCGAATTGGTCGTCAATTTGTGAAACTACTTGGCATAATGATGTTGATGTTTCTTTGAAGGGGTGTGGAGCTTTGTTCTTGGTATGAAAAAATCGAAATGTAATGTGCTGGGAATTATTGTAAATGGGAAACAAAATGTTTGTTCACATTGAGATTATGAGCATTCTAAATTTTGATGGAATGTTGGGAAAAGTAGGTACAAATATGCCTCTCTGTTATTGCAAGCCAATTTGGGTACTAGTATACATTTCAGAGCTCCATTTGATTTTGTTTTAAACCCTCAGCCATTACAGGAAGAATTCAATTGAAATGTTTTATTAGAATTTTGACCTCTAATCACAGCATATACCCTTTACTAAATCATCTGCTTTCAAATCTATCATATGTACATGACACTATAAACAAATCTCTCTATGGTTTGTTACCCTGAAATCTGATTGCCTAAAGGTTAGTCATTCTGTTCTCTAGCCGCTTTCCATTTAGTTTTGCATCAACTAAATGTAATATTGGAAACTTTCAATTTCTTCCCCATGCTTTCGTCAAGCAACTAAATGGTGCATTTTTGTTTAGCCCATATTTCATATAATATTTTGGTAGAAAAACTGTTTGTTATTGAATTGAATTATATATTTTTCCTTTTCACTTACCCCATTGAGTATTTTAGCAAGTTTAAAAGAATGAATTGTTGCTTAGCTTCTGTCACTTATTTAGGTGTAATCATAATCCTGAATCCATCATTGCTTGTTGCCGGAGTTATGAGTTTACTTGAAAGAAAAAGAAAAGATGTTCTGATGCTTCTATGTTTGGTGTTCTATTATTATCTCTGTTCACTTGCCATCTAATTGGATGGTGTATTAACATATTCTAATTGCTAGGCTGTTAGGCTCTTGGGACCTCCAGCAAGTTTTGAAGCTTCAAAGCTGAAAGTTGTTTTCATGGGAGAGAGCATGAATGACTATTCTAGAATCCTTCCAAGGACATACATCCTATCACATTGTGACTTTACGGCTAACTTAACTCTGACTATATCCAACGTAATCAACCTTGAACAGGTATGTACACTTAATATTTAATAATGTTGCATTTGAACTTTTTACTTAATGTTTGTACACTTGGAACTGGTGATGTGTTCATGTTAAGATTACCATATAAGTTCTATGTTTCTAGTTGGGTGAATATCTCGTAGCATATCTGAATCTTTGATTGATGTCAGCCTTTTCTTATATGTCCATGACAGTTAAGAGGGTGGTACATCAAGGATGATGTTGTAGCCGAATGGAAAAAAGTGAAAGATGATATGTGTCTGCATGTTCACTGCTATGTGAGTGGCCCCAGTCTCTTGCGAGACCTGGCAGCTGAGTTTCGATACCACATATTCTCCAAGGAAATGCCTTTGGTAAGTTTTTTCACAGTAATGATCCATTAGATTATCTCGTTTTAGATAAAGGCCCAGGAATAATTAGGACAGATCTATCAAGTGTTTGTCCTGGCATTGTGCATCATGATTAAAGAGCCATGTTGACGCTATGTGACCAGTGGCTGCCGACCATAAACCATTCATAATTCATTCAACCATCATATCTTACTTTGTGATTCTCTATCCCATTCTCCATGAGGACTGATATGCAGGTTTCTGCTTCCAGTTTCAGGACAGAGAACAGGTGCATTAGTATTCCTCTTCCATTGCTATAGACATTTCATCAATGAATGTCCCCTCTCATCATAGTCTTTGCTTGAGTAGAGTTTTATAATGGCTTAACGTATGCCAAATGACTAGAATATTTGGTTAATGTTACACAGGTACTGAAAGCTGTGCTACATGGAGATTCAATACTTTTCGGGGAGCATCCTGAGCTGATGGATGCCTTAGTCCGGGTTTACTTCCATTCAAGCTCAAAACATTACAATCGCATGGAATATTGGGGGCCACTCAAGGATGCTGCAGAGGTATAATTAATTGCATAAATATGAATTAGATTAACTACTTCCCAAATAATTCCTCTGCTTTTCTTCAATTGTTTTATCAAGAAAGTTAGCTCTCACACTATATTTACATCAGTTCAGTGTTGTTATGAGTAGTTAAAATCCGCCGTACTAATGTATTTTCACAAACTTATTTGGAAATTAACTCCATAAGCAAAAGTAAATCTGTTGTTTTTCTCTATTTATTTATCAGGGAAGACAAGAAGCACTTATTCAAGGTTTGTTGACTGCAAGTGAAGGTTCCCGATCTCTCAAAAAGTGGCGAAGGCCAAAATCCATCTTCCAAGCTCTATTTGCCTTTCTTCTTTGAATACATTGCATAGACAACACAATTTAGAAGGCTGACTGCATGCTTCGAGTGCAGTAGCTCATCAGACTCTGTTTTTTTAAAAACAAAATCACGAAAATGCTCATTTCAGGATTCGAAAGTCAAGGCTCAATTTGCATCGAAGTAAAGATTAATTGCTTTGATTCTTTTGCAACTAATGTATTTGTTCAATTGTAAAACATTGTTTACCATTGTTTTGCAACTGAGCCCATTTGTTCATTCTTCAATCAATGGCTCATGTCTTTTGTTGCTTTGTAAATCAAATTTGTAAAGCTGAAGTCTTGTTTCCAAGCTGTGTTTTAACACGCACACAATCTCTCTCTTCTTAATAAATTTCTTTTTTCATTTTTTTCCTTTTGTATGATTAACTTAGTCCCGAAACCCTTTAGAAGAAACATTAAGATTTTTTATTGCGAAGTAGTTTTTTTGCAAATTATATTCCAACTAATGTATGAAAATCAAATGATTGGAACAAATAGTTTTCGTTTGGAGTAGCGATTTGTGCAGAACTTCTAGAACTAAAACAAACGTTGCTTTCCCTGGAAGTTTATGATGAGGAACCAAGTCATTTTCTCCATGGTTTAGAAGACATCTAGCCTTGTCAGCGCTGTTTAGACACCACGGCAGCCCACCGGAAACAGTCAAACACATCCAGTTAAAAAAATGCAACGTGTAGGGACATCAAATGACCTAGAGTCAGCTACAAATGGCTTTGCCTATTAGATTCTGAAGATGACGTTTAATTGTCTAATATAAAAGTTTTTTACCATAAAATGAGTCTCGAAATGACTTCCAGTGTAACACATTAATTTACCAACTGGGTCTAGATTATCATCCCCAAGATACAAAAATACCCTTTACTTAAATTAATATATCAGGTGATATTCTTCCTTAATTTGCCGGCCTGAATGCACATCAACAACATTTATGGAGTCTGTGAAGTATAATATTTGTTAGTTGTTTGAGATTTCTAATAAGGATAATTTACAAGTACACGCTGAAATGGAACCTTTGGAATTTTATAACAATTCTTTTCAAAGCTTAAAAAATACATTTCATCATATGAATAATAAAATAAATAATACCCTTGATTCCGATCATGAGTTACAATTGCCAGGAACATTCAGTTGTAGTGTTGTACTTATTTAAATAACACATAAAATTAAATGACTGCATTACATTTCACTCTTTCATCCTCTATTTTTATTGGTTCGGGGTGTGTTTGATTGGTAGGACTCTGTAGAATATTTTTTGCTAAATTAATAGTGCCCTCGACCTCTCCTAAGCAACATAAAATATTCTTGCAATCAATATAAAAAATGGAATTGGGTCTCGATGGAATCCTTTTTTTTTTTCCCTCTCTAATTCTCTTTCTCTATTCGATGCTGTTGCTGCTGTTACTTGAATCTGATATGGTTTGGTTAATTTGGTCGCCATCAATACTGTGCTATGGACATATATGTCACCACTCCAATAATAGTTTTCATATTCTTAATACCATGATTTGATTTTTATTATAAATGGCAAGGCAGTGGCTTGTCAATCATTTTCATTTCAAGTACATACCGAGAAAATGTTGGAACTGAAATCTTGCTGCCGGCCGGGAACAATTTTATATTTTAAAATACTGTTATATACGTGTACACGTGTATCAAGATTATGGTAAAAACGACTCAAATTTCATGCAAACCTAATACGTACATATCCACAAAATCGTTTTCAGTTGACTACTCCAAATATTTCTGTCACAATCTTCTGGAAAAAATAAAATTATAATAATCGTTAGAATATTTTAATCACAGATTCCCACTGCTAGAAAGAATATCGTTAAACACAATGCTTAATTAGATGGGTTGGGTGGACACTCAAGATATATCAAATTAAAATTCTGAAAGTATTATACAATTTATTATAATAAAACTGAAAGGGACTTTTGGTTCATTAATTAACAATAAACAGGCAAAATTTAGACAAACAAAACGTCATCAACATCAAGTGTGCTTGCCTCATCGAACTCCCCAAACTCTGCAGGCTGCTTGACAATTAGAATTATTCATCGATCTTCCTATATATACAAACTCAATCAGAATTCAAACCAGCATTTTTAATTGTCTCCGTAATACACTAAAGCCTGAAGAGTGGAGAGAAAAATGAAAACTTGTTTTGGGATAGAAGTAGGATTACAATCGCAATTGTGTAAAGTAGAGTCTGGAAAGATTGACAAGTATTGCTACTGCTGCATGGCTCCACCCATTCGTGGAAGCATCAAGCGTCAGATCTTCAACGATTTTTTGCAAATCCTTAAAGCTTTAACAAGGAAGATGAGCCGACTTCTCAGCAAATGTGAAGAACTCTGACCTTCCTCGTCAAGGCAGTATAATTATTAATTACTCTTCGAATATAATCTTTTCCTTTCCTTTCGGTTCTTTTTTTTTTTTTTTCTATTTTCTTTTTTCCTTTTTGTGTAAAACTCGATGGTTCAGAGAATAAATTACACTCTGTAAGTTATTCATATAATATTGTGTGACTATGTTACATATATATACAAAATAAAATTATACGTTGTATAAAGTTTTATCTGCTTTTTCGTTTTGCACTACTTGTTATCCGTTGAAGATTGTGATATCATGCTGGAAATGATAAAGTTGGCAGAAAATTCGAATGGCATGTTCTGCCGCTGTTTGGACTCCTACTGTTCATGCAGAAGCAGTTTTTGGTCACTGTTTTAGAAAGGATTCAGTGATGTGTTTAGGTGAATTAGGTTTGATTAAATGTAATATTTTCATATGTTTGTACGTGTATTAGTTGAAGTATTGAGTTTAAATTTCAAATTTGTAAATCTTTAGGTGAAAACAGTGGCGGGTGCTTGTATAAATTTATCCCTGTTTTTTGAATAAAAAAACAGAGCATTATTTTCCAGTTCTCAGTTCTCTCTCTTTCATCAGTTTTTCCTCTTTGTTTTCATGCAAAACCAACATTATCAACAGATGAGCATGAGCGTCTAAATTCGGGGAAAGCGAAAGGGCGTATAATATATAGTGTACAGTGTACTAGGAGTACAATGAGCAGCTGTTCCTGGTTATCAACTGACAAGTTCATAGGCGCCATATAAGGTATGTTTCATGCACAAGGTACATAGATTTTGCGAGAAATTGTGTATATATACTACTTAATTGAATAAGTATCGAGTTAAATATTTTTCTCCAGTACATATATATATATATATATATAGAAATCTACATCTTTTTTAATTTGAAGGGCTGATGTCTAGATCAAAGGACTGTATTTATAAGGGCTGAAGTACCTTAGGAACAAAGTTCCTCTTTTATTTGCGTGAGAGCCAAGAGGAATAATCATCTCCTATTAAAAATCACCAGGACGACTATATTGATTCAACTGGGACCAATAACAGAAAGGGTGATTCTTAGAAACTTGTTGATTCGGCAGTTAAAAAGAGTCAATGATACTATTTCAACATCTGATTATATTAAAAAATATTGGCGCATTATGGGTTGAAAAGTAAAGTTGCATCCGGAAGTACCTTTTTTTTTTTTTATAATAGTCTTAAATAAAGTTGATATATGTTGCTCACATCTCTCATAATTTTTTGCTTTCATTAGTCAATCACTCAATCAATCACAAAATTAATCTAGATTGGCCATTCATGCATCATAAACCAAACACTTTTCCTGCTTGTTCTTGAACGGCATTAATTAATTTGGTGAACTGTGAATTCTCTCAATAGATTTAGGCACTTTCTCATTTCACACCAGAAAAGTCATCATATGATAAATATTAATTAATTATATATGGAATGACGTAACGTACCGCGTCTAATTATCAATGATTCTTTCTTTCCTTCATTTGTAGAAAAATTTGATATCCTAAATTTTCTACCTCATAATTCTGGTTCACGACTGATTTGATCAGTATCAGAACCATTACTATGTTTTAACTTTTCTTACGCGTCTGTCAATTGATACGCGGTTATGATCTTTCTCTTTCACTTTGATGATTAACTGAAAGCAAAGTACCCATAGCTAGCTATACTGTTTTGGTTCTCTAGAGTTATAGTAGGAAAACGACATTTCCCAACCACAGGATACCACCTAGCCTCTCCTCTGGGTGTTAAACACGACAGAGAGAAGCTATTTCGGATTTAGAATGTTGACTTGGGTCACAAATTGATGGGATTTTCATGCGTGATTCGCCAACTAGTGTAGTATGCTGCCTTATAATAGGAAGTACGCAAGAACTTTCCTCTTGCATTAATTCCTTATACAAATCAACATATATATTGCCTTCAAAGGCTCTCTATGCTTCCTCATACAAAAATATATTCTCTTCTGTCTAAAATGGATAAGAAGCCAACCGAAGTCGGGTCTGGAAGAGCAAATGCCGGCGGGAGCAAGAGCAAGGGGCGCTGCCATCCTATTAGAGGACACATCAAGCGCCAGATTTTCGCACTTCTCTTCACAAAACTGAAGCTAGCTACCCAACATGTCGTTTCTTGTCTAAGTAGGGATGACTAACCTCCAGATTTAGGCATTATCTAGATTGGATTGCTGGGTTTAGGTTTACAAGTAGTACTAAATTCTTCTTATTAAAGTAATTTGTTGTTATTGTTTGAGTAAACGACATAGGTTCAGCGAAATGACTGTTCGTACCTGGTTTCAATTATTCAGATTCTCACCCTTAAAATAACCCCGTTTTCTTTCAATTCGTTTAATAGTTAAAGGCTAAAATGGTCATTTCATATATTTAATATTTTCATTTTCTGCAAAAACATCTCTCCCATCCAGCCACCACCTTTCAATACCATCACGACAGAAACCCCCAAGTCACCACCCACCGCCATTCCACCCATCCACCACCCTCGCAATCCCTCTAAACCCCAAAGTCATCCCTGCCGCCACCAAACAACCACCACCAAATCACTCAAAAATTCAGCCACAAACCACCACAAACTCAACACCCAACGCAACCAAAATTGGCACACAACCACAGGCAAGAGGCTGACCTAGTGTCACGGGCTGGGAGTTTCACACCCAAAAGGCTAACCTATTAGGTGGAGGGACTCCCCCCATTTATAAGCCCAAGACCTCNGACATTTCCCAACCACAGGATACCACCTAGCCTCTCCTCTGGGTGTTAAACACGACAGAGAGAAGCTATTTCGGATTTAGAATGTTGACTTGGGTCACAAATTGATGGGATTTTCATGCGTGATTCGCCAACTAGTGTAGTATGCTGCCTTATAATAGGAAGTACGCAAGAACTTTCCTCTTGCATTAATTCCTTATACAAATCAACATATATAGTAATAATAATAATAATATTGCCTTCAAAG